ATTTTCAAGTACACATAAAAGCCTGATAACACGTCTACACTATCATATATTAAGTGAGCAATCGAGCTAGGCCTAAAAGGTGCATGTACAGTACACACATTACTTACCTTAAAATATTTTCTTCATTAGCTTATAGTAAGTGGTGAATATATTTATTGTAGGAAGTCTGAATTAATGAAGAATGGGTATACTAATTGAAAACTGCTGCATTAGCAAAATGCTGTAAAGCAAAGGGCTGTAAAGCAGGGCTTGCCTATACTGTATACAATGATCATAATTATCATACAAGAGTAGTGGAACACTGATAAAAGAAGCGAGTTTATGGTGAACTACTGTACAGTACCTATACACTATATGATTATGTCCACTGGGCCTCTATAACTAGAGGAAAAACATAATATACACTGCAGTATAAAACAGAATGATAACATAATACATAGGCCATTATGAAGGTATGTTTACTATATAATGCTATCAAAGTATTTAACAAAATGCATAATACAAAATAAAACAAAAGTCTAAGTCCACTCACAAACACCAATATGATAATATTGTACTAGTTACTGTATAAGTTAAGATTAAAGGTTAACAAACACCATTTCTAATACATATGTGTTTATTTAACAAAGCAGGATACTGTGTACATACAGTATAACCATTATATGTACAAGGCAAAAAATCTATATTTACATTTAAGATTTAAGAGACTTTAATGCTGTTGTAAAGGCAGCAATAGAAAAGTTTAGTGCCAGAGCTTAATGACAACAGTGACCTTTAATTAAATTGTATCTATACAGAGGTCTGGAAATAAGTAATTAATGTATAAAACAGGAGGATAAACAAGTATATGAGGAATGATGAAATGCATAAAGACAGCAGTTTGTTAGATTATTAGATGATAAAATGTTGAAGGGCAAATTTCAAGAAATACATTTCATTTTAAATGAGTGACCAACATGTCCGATCAGTATTTAGCAATAGCTACAGTAAGAATATGAGGCAAGTAGAGTTACAAGAATGATGTCATAGGATAAGAGAGAGGTGATAGAGTCAAAGAAGGGAATGTTTAGTAAGAGGTGCGAGCAACTGTTGGAAGAAAAACTGACTAGTAAGAAAGGAGAGGTCGAAGAACATTTAAGAATACAGTACAAATATATAATAGAGGTTTGTGGTATAGGAGTCAACAGGAATGATGGGTGGAATAATGAAATAATAAGGGTAGTAAGTGATAACTAACTGTTTACAATGTAAAACTGAGATAAGAAAGGTGGAAACAATGGCGACGGAGCACAGAAAAGCAAGTGAGAGACTGCAAGAGTTATTATGAGAATTTTGATGAGATTAAGAAAAGAATATTGGAGAGAAATAACTAAGGTGACTAAGCCTGGGGATCAACTGAATCTATCAATTAAGAGTGAAGGTGGTAAGATATTAAATGGGGAGGTAGAAGTACTAGATATAAATTTTTGAGGAGTTATTCAAAGTAGATGATGAAATGGAGGCAGAGATTTCATGCATAGCACAGAAGGGAAGAACTAGAAGTGCCCATAAGACAGCAAGTGAACTAATAAGCAAGTTAAAAGGGTTAGAAATGGAAGAAATAGGTGAGATTTAAACTGAGAAGCTGAAATTAGATGAGAATATATAGGGAGGATTTCTGATTAAAAATGACTGAGCTATGATGCTCTGCATTTACAAAATCCAAGGGACATAATACTGAGAAAATTATTTTATGAATACCTATTTATGAAATTAGACACATGTGACACATAATGATCTTGTGCCATTATTTTCTATAGAAAAACAGGTTCTGGGTTACAAACATCTTGTTTGTAAGTTGAGATACTGGGAATGTAATACATGTGTGAGCTGTGAACCTCCGTGTAGTTTTGGAATAAGTAGTATTGTTATACAATACATACTATGTGTGGCAAGAGGAAAAGTACTTAATCCTTTGACTGTTTTGGTCATATATATATATATATATACGTCTTACAAGCCACTATTTTTGACATATACTATATACTCATAAATTCTAGCGGTTTCAAATCAAGCAGGAGAAAGCTGGTAGGCCCACATGTGAGAGAATGGGTCTGTGTGGTCAGTGTGCACCATATAAAAAAATCCTGCAGCACGCAGTGCATAATGAGAAAAAAAACTCCGACCATTTTTTTAATTAAAATGCCGACTTTGTGGTCTATTTTTGTATAGTATTTAAGGTTGTATGCTCATTTTCTTGGTCTCAATTGATAGAAGAGAAAACATATTATAGAAATAGAAGTGATTTTGATTGGTTTTACTATGAGAAGAACCTTGAAATGAAGTTCAAAGTTGGGGAAATGATTGATTTTTGCCGATGTTCAAAAGTAAACAAATGATGTCATTTTCCAATAAATGTCCAAGTAGCCATTCTAATATGCAGTCATGAATGGGTTGACATTATTTATACAATTATTACAATATTGCAGTACTGTAGTTTGAATAACAGTAAATCTTCTATTTTTTTGTTTGAATAAAATTCAAAATGGAAAGGAAGAGTAATATCAGAGGGGTCTGGAGACATGACTGATGAACAAAGAAAATGTTATTTTAGAGCCAGGAATGTCTGCATTGTTCACTCTGGACCCTATTTTGAAATTGTCATATTTTTTAATTTTCGTGAAATTGGCCAAATTGCAAATATCTGACCACGTTATTGGGTAGCTGAAATCGGTAAATGGGCAGTTTCTTGTACTCAATCGATAAAAAAATGGAGTTCTAAAGAAATAGCTATGAGTTTGGTCGACTGGAACAATGGAATTAACCGAAAATAGGGCTCAAAGTGGACAAAATCGCCGATTCATAAATATCGCCGAGGTCGCTAACTTTGCGAGAGCATAATTCCATCAGTTTTCCGTCAAATTTCGTTCTTTTGGTGTCATTACAATCGGGAAAAGATTCTCTATCATTTCATAAGAATTTTTTTTTTTTTTCAGAAATTTTGCGACACCAGAAGACACCTCAGGATTTGGGGTTGCGACAGTCAAGGGGTTAAGGACTGGCAGAGCATGAATAGTTCTTCTGTATCAGGAAAAAGGTACAAAAGAGGAATGTAAAAATTATATGGAAATAATTTGACTGATTAACCCCTTCTGTTGTATAAATTACTAAATTTAAAAAGAGAAACCTACGTTTTCCTTTTTAGGTCACCCTCCCTCGGTGGGATATGGCCAGTTTGTTGAAAGAAGAGAAGAAGTTGATTGATTATACCAGGTAAAGTGTATAGTAGAACTATTATTAAAAGAGTTATGGTTAAGACAATAAATAGAACTGCAGAATAAGGAAGACTTAGGAAAGGAAGGGGTGTATATTTTTTTTGTTTCTTTTTAACAAACAGGTCGTATCCCACCGAGGCACCATGACCTAAAAAGAAAAACGAACGTTCCCCTTTTTAAATTTAGTAATTTATACAGGATATTGGGATATTGGCAGTTTGGAGGGATATGTTGTGTATCTTTATACGTATATGCTTCTAAACTGTTGTATTCTGAGCACCTCTGCAAAAGCAGTGATAATGTGCGAGTGTGGTGAAAGTGTTGAATGATGATGAAAGTATTTTCTTTTTTGGGGATTTTCTTTCTTTTTTTGGGTCACCCTGCCTCGGTGGGAGACGGCCGACTTGTTGAAAAAAAAAAAAAATACAGGAGAAGGGGTTAATAGTTTAAGTGTTTGGAATAAATTATACTGTGTGAGAAATACTTGCATAAAGGTAAGGAGCTAGGTGCTGGATTTATAGATTTGAAAAAAGCTTATAATAAATGGGCAGGCAAGCAGTATGACTGATTGTTACAAGTGTATGGAAAAGAAAAAAGGATGTTAAAAGCTGTAGCATACTGTACTCTATATATGCAAGACTCAGGTTAAGATATTAAAGACATGCATTTTATGTCAGTAAAGTGTAGATGCATGTACTTTACATATAGTTTACATTTACTCTTGATAAAAGATGGTTTGAAACTCTGAGACTAATACTGTTTGTGCCCAAAGATTTAGGGAACCACTTACCTTGAAATATCCAAAATTTATTGTAATGTTTTATTTTCCTTTTCAGTCAAAAACGTTGTTATTCATACAATTAACACTGGTTCTTAGGTACTGTATAGATTAATAAATGCATGACATACAAATAAAGAATACTATTAGGTACTATATGGAAAATAAAATTAAACTGATTATCAAAATACATGTAGTAAAGATTGAATAATGCAGTGCAGTGCCTTAAATGTACATTTCCAAAGGACTATCCCAAAATATTAATTCTGTAGTAATTTCACTTCAAAGTGAAGGTACCCTAATGCAATGCATCAAAATATGATGCTCAATTCATTATTTAATACAGTATAATATATACAAATTTGATGAGCTTCATTTCACATGGTAAGAATTAATATTTTGGGGGAATGGTAAGTTTACAATGATAAAACTGCAGAATTCATGACATTTGCTCACTTTTGCTTGCAACTAGGTAATGATTTTTAGCTCGATTTATCATCAGGACTGTGACTGACAGTATTTTTTTCATAAATTCACACATGAATGTGAGAAATACAAAAATATAACCAGGAATTTTCTCTTAACATGACATAGTAACAGTTTTGGTTTAAATGCTATAACTCCCCAGTTAACACAACTGTGGACGGAATTTTTGCAAATCACAGTGCAAATAAATAAAAGTGAGTTGTGGTGTACAATCTAATTTTGATAATGACATAAAACAAGGGAGCAACATTACACCACCTAAGTATAAAAATTCCAAGGTAACTTAAACAGTGCAGTACAGAAAGTTGGAGTAATAAATGGCAAATGAATTTCACTGTTAAATGCAAAGCAATATACAGTACATAGTATATCAGAAACAAAAGTAAAAAGGTAAGAGTTTTCTGAACACCACAGAATTAAAGAAACCAATTGAAGAAAATGGCCTAGGAGTAATAATGCCAGATAAAGATAAACAGGCAGTGTACTGACACAGTAAAAAATATAACACTCTTTTAGGATTTATTTATAACGTATTGAAGTCAAGTTGAGCCAGCCATTTTGTACAAGTTGTTAAATCCTACTCTAGCATATCTAGTTTTGATATTCATACACAAGTATGAATATTGGTAAACAGGTGGATGCTCAGCATGGAAAGGTGAAGAATATACCCAGACTAAAAAGTAAGCATATGATATTTAGAAGAGCTGAAGTTATTCAGTCTTTCATGTTAAGATTGAAGAGTGACAGATGCAAGCATTGCTTTTATAAATATCAAGGGGCCTTACAATCTTGATTAAAGCAAATACTTGAATATTACTTTAAGGGAAAAAGTTCCTAAGACCAGAACTGCAGTATTTATATTAGGATGATTATTAGTATTATAATCATAACTAAGTGCTAAACCCAAAGGGTCATACAGCTATATTAGGATGAATGTAAGTAGTTCTGGCCTTCGCTAATTTCCTCTACTCTCATAGGAGCATGTATGTCAATGCCACCAATGAGCCATGTCCCTGACTCACGGTGGGATTCATTTGATGACTTTGAAATACCTCCGATTTATTTTATTTTACCTGTTGACAGTGCTCTCAGTCAGTCTTCATTTTGCCCTCCACTCCTCTTCTGAAAATATAAGCTACTCTATCCTTATTGGATACCTTTATTATAATAGCGTTTTTATTATTGCGCTTATTGTTTATATTGATTATCAGTAATAATTTCACTCTTGTGCACTTTAATGTGCATGGTTGACACCTTTTACTTTAGGGCATTCCGTTGCTATTTTTCTCTTAAATGTCTTTCTGGTAATCTACCTGCAATTCTTTTTAAGTCAACAGGTTAGGTGTGGGTCACCCAAACCATGAGGGTAAGACAGGACAAATTTAGTAGTTCTTTTTGGGTCACCATGCCTCGATGGGAAATGGCCGGTGTTAGAAAAAAATCCTACTATTAATGACTGGTGCTGTCACTGGCTTGTCTTTTGGGATCATTGCCAGTGCATCAGTTGTCACTGATCCCAGATACTTCTGAAGCTTACTGTCAGCTCTGCAACTATCAGGCCACATTTTGTTACAAAAGCAATCCAGTCTGACACTATTTTTTTTTTTTTTCAACAAGTCGGCCGTCTCCCACCGAGGCAGGGTGACCCAAAAAAGAAAGAAAATCCCCAAAAAGAAAATACTTTCATCATCATTCAACACTTTCACCACACTCGCACATTATCACTGTTTTTGCAGAGGTGCTCAGAATACAACAGTCTAGAAGCATACACATATAAAGATACACAACATATCCCTCCAAACTGCCAATATCCCAAACCCCTCCTTTAAAGTGCAGGCATTGTACTTCCCATTTCCAGGACTCAAGTCCGACTATATGAAAATAACCGGTTTCCCTGAATCCCTTCACTAAATATTACCCTGCTCACACTCCAACAGATCGTCAGGTCCCAAGTACCATACGTCTCCATTCACTCCTATCTAACACGCTCACGCACGTTTGCTGGAAGTCCAAGCCCCTTGCCCACAAAACCTCCTTTACCCCCTCTCTCCAACCCTTTCGAGGACGACCCCTACCCCGCCTTCCTTCCGCTATAAATTTATATGCTTTCCATGTCATTCTACTTTGATCCATTCTCTCTAAATGACCAAACCACCTCAACAACCCCTCTTCTGCCCTCTGACTAATACTTTTATTAACTCCACACCTATTCCTAATTTCCACACTCCGAATTTTCTGCATAATATTTACACCACACATTGCCCTTAAACAGGACATCTCCACTGCCTCCAACCGTCTTCTCGCTGCTGCATTTACCACCCAAGCTTCACACCCATATAAGAGTGTTGGTACTACTATACTTTCATACATTCCCTTCTTTGCCTCCAGAGATAACGTTTTTTGACTCCACATATACCTCAACGCACCACTCACCTTTTTTCCCTCATCAATTCTATGATTAACCTCATCCTTCATAAATCCATCCGCCGACACGTCCACTCCCAAGTATCTGAAAACATTCACTTCTTCCATACTCCTCCTCCCCAATTTGATATCCAATTTTTCTTTATCTAAATCATTTGACACCCTCATCACCTTACTCTTTTCTATGTTCACTTTCAACTTTCTACCTTTACACACATTCCCAAACTCATCCACTAACCTTTGCAATTTTTCTTTAGAATCTCCCATAAGCACAGTATCATCAGCAAAAAGTAACTGTGTCAATTCCCATTTTGAATTTGATTCCCCAAAATTTAATCCCACCCCTCTCCCGAACACCCTAGCATTTACTTCCTTTACAACCCCATCTATAAATATATTAAACAACCATGGTGACATTACACATCCCTGTCTAAGACCTACTTTTACCGGGAAGTAGTCTCCCTCTCTTCTACACACCCTAACCTGAGCCTCACTATCCTCATAAAAACTCTTTACAGCATTTAATAACTTACCACCTATTCCATATACTTGCAACAACTGCCACATTGCTCCTCTATCCACTCTATCATATTTTTTTATAGTTTTAAATACTTGTTTTCATAAGAGAGAAAAGACAATTTCTTGAATGTTTGTAGCAGGGAAGCCAACAATTCCCTTACCACTAGCAACCTTTTCCATTACAACTACTGAAATATAAATTGCAAAAACAGTTCTAAAATTATATAAGCTACTGTATTTCAGTTCAACAAAGTGATAGATCTATCATTAGTTAAAATTTTAGGTAGTTGGTCAAAGAATGTAGTTCATGAAGGAATGGTAGTGTCGTTGCTAGGTCTCGACCTTAAAGATTTTAGAGGTCTATGGGGTAGCAAGTGTCAAAAAGATAGCTGGAGAGGATTGTGTGGATTGGAATGCAATGAAAGTGACATATGGTGAAGAATTTGAAACATCAGTGGTGAGAACTGTGTAAAGGTTGGATATAGAAATAAGTGCAAAGGAGGACACTACTTGGAAATGGGGGTGTTAGAGAACTCTGGAATAAGAGATGTGAGGTATTCTCTGTAGGTGGAGTTGGGCAATCGTTTGGTTTTCATGATAAATTTTTTATTTTTTCCGAAAAATTTTCGACCCTGAGAACAAGCTCAGGAGAGGGCCGCTCGACCCTGAAAGGGTTAGTGGACAATGTACTGTGTGTACATATCTTTTATTCATTGGAGCTATGGCTAAAAGTAAGCAGGTTGTAACAATAAACGGAGAAAAAGAAATTGGAATGACCTTTTTCTTTCCAACACTGTATTTGGCTTTCCTGAAAGAAAATGAGGCAGTGGCAGGAATATGAGGGATATATTTCTTTGCACTTAAGGTAGGAAGGGGGCAGTCACAGTTTGGGTAATTATGATTTATTTCCCCACAGATCGGACATTCTTCCTGTGGCCTGCAATGTTTTGATGGATGACTGTACCACTACACTGGCAGCACTGTTGTAGTGTTGACCTGATATGCATACCGACAGAAGGGGGTAAGTTCATAGACATTGAATGTCAGTTTAGCTATATCAGTTGGATGTTATTTTCATCCATGAGCAGGGCAGACATAAGTTTTGATTCAGTGATTGGGAGTTGTAATTCTAATTATTTTTGCATCCTAAGTACAGTTGGTGAAGTTTTGTTGTATAACCATGTGAGTGATAACAACAGTTCCATGCACAGATTGATGTGGGGATGCACTAGTTTCAACTATATCAGCATCATCATCTCCGACAATGTGCATTCAACTTTTTTAGAGGGTGCAAGTAAATGTCTTGGCTGATGTGGGTCATGAGTTCTTGTGCAAGAATGTGGCCATTCAAGAATGATTTGGATGAAAAAATCTTATTCATTGTCATGTTTGGAAGATTCTGTTAGCAGAAGATTTCCAGGTTATGAGTTTCTTAGTTTACAACCAAGGTGTGTGCTATACCAGTCTCATCATTTGTCTTTTATTGTCACTTGGCAGATGGCTTCAAGCCACTCAGTCCCTTGGTGTGTGGACAATCCATGAAAAGTCAATGCATCATGGATGAAGTCAGTTCCATGGTCAAGGTAATGAGGTCCGAGGTGCTACAGGAAAAAAGTAGAATGCCAGTACTGGGCCCAGAACACAAGTGATTACCCATTAGAGATGCTGGGGATCTGAGTAAGATCCATGGCTGTGTAAGAGTCAGTAGTATGTGTTATGATCACTTGACATCCAAGAGAATAAACCAGCTCTGAGAATAAATGAAAAGAAATTACAAACCCACCCTTAACCACGGTCACCTTTGCAGCAAGAGATAGTGCTGTTCTTTCCTGGAAACCACCTTTTACCCTACATGGTGCAACACCAAGATGGCACCTCCAGAATTAGTCGAGTAAGGCTTAGCAAAATTGCCTGTTTAGGCAAGAGCACTTATGGTAATGGGTGAACAGGAGTCATACACTGCTGGGAACTGCCATCAGAAGCCATGCCAGATGGGCACTCAAGTGTCTTGGAGAGTCATATGACACCCTAAGATGATCCAGTTTTCATCGGGTCAGAAGACAATCACTACAGTACTACAAACAGAAGCTGTGTTAGAACAGGGCTGAAAGCAATTCTTCCTTGTTCCATCAAAGAGCTGAATTTCACAAAAGGAAAAATATTACCTATAATCAGGCAAAAAGGGCAGGAGGGTTGGGGGGGGGGGATATTTATATTCAGTTTAATAAAGGGGTGAAGAGGTTCAGTTTCTCAAATCAAGAGCCCCTTTATTGCAGCAAGACACACACCCTTGAAGGGAGTAAATATAAAAAAATTATTTGGTTTCAAAGACAGAACTTACATTTTGTAGCACTGTATATTTTGTTCTTTTCTTGGCTCTCTTCCTTTCCAATCTTAATACCATATAATATGCTATATTAAAACTATGTCTAGATATTTAAATGATTAAAAGATAAATAACAATATTATTTACAAATATACAACTTGAAGCAAAATAAACATCAACTAGCTGAACAATTAAACTGCTGTACACCATATACATTGGCAATTTATCTGGCTCAAAATATGAGGCAAAATATAATGTAAAAATGTAAAAGGAATAAGAACCATTTCACAGGTAGTTGATTTTTGGCTGCATATTTAAAGACATTCCATTTAAAGAAAATGTTGTCATATAGGTATATGAAAATTTACCAGTAACAGAATACATAAAAATACTTTGTTTAAAACTCTTAACATTGTATATAAACATACAATATAAAGAGAAGAAACTACCAGGTAATACAATTTATCTGAAGACTTCCCCAACATGAATTAAGAATCAATAGAGTCATTACAGTTACCCAGAAACTAAGTGCACTTACTGCACCTCATGTAGGGAGGGTGATGAAGTGAAAGATTATCCTGCACAAAGTATTTAAATGAGAAGTGCAGTAAATAATTAGAAAGCATCAACACCTACAGACTCCTTTTGAAGGTATCAGGGTGGTGATATGCTGAAAATGTTTTATACTCTGAATAATTCTACATCACTATAATTAATATAATTTTTCTTTGGATACTATTAAAAAGCTTAAACAGTAATCATCTTCCGTTTCTGATGTTAATGGAAATTAATATAATTTCTACTGTACATTCTAAACTATAAACGTTAAAGTTTCTAATTTAAAATTTAGGTACCTTTTCAAAGCATTCTTTTGTTAGTTCAAGGTCACTTGGAATTTAATAGTCTGGTTAAACAAACTGCATTATATATACTTGCATTACATAAATGAAGAAACATTACAGGTGTTTAAGTGTTCAATACTAAGAATGTAATTCAGTACCGTCTTAGAGTATTTCAATAATCACAGCCCTGTAAAAATGCAATATGCATTATTCACTGATAACACATTCTGCATCTGTGACCAAAAATTTTCTTTATACCAACACATGAAACTGGCTTCAATTATGCAATAACCTCAAAGCCATTCTCAATTTCAAAATGGCTTACAACATGAGATTCAAATGACTCCTGAGGAATAACTTGAGGAAACACTGCATTGCACATTGGGCAGATGCGCTCTTCCTCATCTTCCAGCACTGGATCTGGTGAGGTGCTCACTGTTCGTGTGTATGGTCTTGTCAAGTCATTCTCACGCCCTTCGTCATCACTCATCTTAATGAAATAACAAAACTGAAAGTCACAATTTTCATACAGCAAAATGAACCAAGTGAAATATTCTTACCATACAACAAGTCAAGAATTTATATTGTTGTATCAATGATAGAGCACAGTAAAAATATAAAAAAATGTCTAATTAACTTAAGGATAATCCCAAAGAATATGTTCTAATTCTCATATCTAACTGAGAGCTGTCACCATAGCAAATATATTCATCATTACCAATACACATTCCTTAACATTTTTTAGCTCACTGGATCCACCTTTATGGTATTAAAAATTACAATAATTAAAAGAAAAATTAAACTCATCACCATTATCCACATACTAGTATGTACATGAATATAAAATCGAATTAGCAATACAAAAAAAGCAAGCCTTAATGAGTAAAAAATTAAGATAAATTTGACTGAAATTAGATTAGTTGTTTTTTCTAAATTATGCTTAATGTAATAGATAACAAATATTATTTCATATGGTAATAAAACTTTACCTGAACTTGTCTCCAATCAAACGGACTATGTGGTCGATCCTCTGCAGAATTATTGGCATCCATGTGGATATTACTCTCACCATTGATGTCATCCATCAATGGGCTTCTGTTTTGAAAGTATAATATTTGCTTACTATGCATACAGATTTCTGAAAACTTTAAATAAAGAAAAAGCACATAGAGGTGGCAAAAATAATTATGCAGACAAAAATTTTTGCTCAAATTAAGTCAACTACTTGTTCTTTTTACCCCCTAAATTATGTTCATGGGGAATTACTAAATCCATAAGGGTCATACAGCACCTGGGAAATGCAAGGTACAGTAATTATATCTAATCCAAGACTTCCAATTCCTTGGATCAAAAGCCCTTCACTAGCATTTAGCAACCCCCCCTCAATCCCTCAAAGGGTCACACTCCCGAAGTATGTTGCTGGAGGCTAGACCACTGGATAGAAGCTCCTCAATCTCAATAAATCCTATAACCACAAACTTCTGATGCACACTAGCACTGTATTCTTAAATCTACTCTATACCTCTTTGACCTCCTCATTATCTGATAAGCTCTCTTATCCCACCTTTCTACTAATAGATGCCTATATCTCCCACATACTAACATGCACTCAAATAACCAACATCTTCAAGGTGATTTAGCGATGTCCAATACTTACGTATTCATTCCTGCAGATGTGAAGTTGGTGTTGAGAACTGATCCACATGTTGCTAATCGACTTTGACAAGCACCATCATCATCAACTACTTCATATTTTGTTCCCTCCTCAAACTGAGTGGAAGGAGTAATTGTCACTGTAGACAAATCACGGTCTCGCTGACTCAGAGTTCCATCTTTTGACAAGGTACGATGACTATGCTCAAAGTTGGTGTCACACTGAGAACACACTAAACCAGACATGTGTGTTATAAATGCCAAAGAACCTGCAGTTATGAAAATGTTAGATTACAGAATTACTATATTATATTCAATAGATAGGGCTAGACCATTAGGGTAATGCAGCCCCTGGGAAATGGGAGATAATCAGGTTTGATCCAAGAAAAGGACGACCATTAGGGTAATGCAGCCCTTGGAAAATGGGTTTGATCCAAGAAAAGGCAAAGTAACTTTAATACTTTGGATCAAAAGACTCATCAGTGTAAAGGCAATATCTTTGAAGAGTGAAAATGTAACATGATACCTCTTGGTATAAGAACAACCTAACGAAAGTCAACCTTGATCTTAAACACATCACAGCTACCTTGGTCCTCCTGAACCCATGAATGCTTTTATGTACCTTCACTTATATTTACCTTCCCTTTTATGCATCCTCTCTTTTATGTGCCTCATTTTTTTATGCATCTGTTTTTATGTACCATCCCTTTTATGTACCTTCACTTTTATGTACCTTCACTTTTATGTACCTTCACTTCTATGTATTTTCTCTTTTATGTAACTTCTATATCATGTATCTTCCCTTATATGTACCCTCATCTTTATGGAAGATAAGCAAGATGAAAAACAATAAAAAATTTAATTTCTCATTTCTTCCTGTTGCAGAGCAGCCAAGTGAAGAGCAAGAGGTGTGTAAGATGAAGAACTGACATACGCTGTGATGTTTGGAAAGAAGCCTTCTGTGACAGGTCATAGTTTTGTAACAGTTCAGAAACAAAGACTGGATGTTATCAAGAAAGGACGAGAGGATTTAAAAAACATATAAAAAGAAAGTGATTTAATATCTTACTGATATATTAATTTAATAATCAATTTTAATGAAAGGAAAAGCAACTGGGTAAGTGAATACAAGTGGTTGTTAATATACACAAGTGAATGTTAATACACAAGAACAGATAAGAAAAATACAAAAATGATACAGTGGTCAACCATTTTTCCAGAATCTCTTATACAGGAATTATCATACAAACAGATCTAAGCAGTCATATCTTTAATAATTTTTTTTTTTAACATTTCAGCAATTTCCCAACAAGACAGGGTGACCCCCCCCCCCTAAAAAAAAGAAACACTTTCACCATCATTCATCACTTTCACCAACATTCACACATAATCACTTGCAAAGGCACCCAGATATGACAGTTTGGATGTCACTCCAACAGCCAATATCCCAAACCCCTCCTTTAAAGTGCCGGCATTATACTTCCCATTTCCAGGGCTCAAATCCAGCTAACCAGTTTCCCTGAATCCTGTCACAAATATTACCCTGCTCACACTCCAACAGCTCGTCAGGTCCCAAAAACCATTTGTCTCCATTCACTCCTATCGAACACACTCACGCACACTTGCTGGAAGTCCAAGCCCCTCACCCACAAAACCTCCTTTACCCCTTCCCTCCATTTTTTTCAAGGACAACCCCTACCTGGAGGGTATTCTGGGGATCAATGCCCCCGTGGCCCGGTCCACAACCAGGCCTCCCGGTGGATCAGGGCCTGGTCAACCAGGCTGTTACTGCTGGCCGCACGTAGTCCAACGTACGAACCACAGCCCAGCTGATCCGGCACCAACTTGAAGTATCTGTCCAGCTCTCTCTTGAAGGGAGCCAGGGACCTATTGGTAATTTCCCTTATGCATGGTGGGAGGCTGTTGAACAGTCTTGGCCCCCAGACACTTATGGTGTTTTCTCTTAGTGTACCAATGGCACCCCTACTTTTCACTGGGGGTATTTTGCACTGCCTGCCCAGTCTTTTACTTTCATAAGGAGTGATTTCTGTGTGCAGATTCAGAACCATTCCTTCTAAGATTTTCCAAGAGTAGATTGTGATATATCTCTCTTGCCTGCATTCCAACTAGTACAAGTCAAGTGCTTCCAAGTGTTCCCAGTAGTTGAGGTGTTTGATGGAACTGTACACTCTCCAGATCTGCAATTTCACCTGCTTTGAATGGAGATGTTAATGTACAGCAATATTCCAGCATAGAGAGAACAAGTGATCTGAAAAGGATCATCATTGACTTGGCATCTCTTGTTCTGAACATTCTCATTATCCATCTATCATTTTCTTTGCAGTTGTGATTGTGGCACTGTTGTGATCCTTGAAAGTGAGATCCTCAGACATTACCACTCCCAGGTTCCTCACATTATTTTTCCACTGTACTGTATGATCAGAGTTTGTAGTACTCAGTTCTAGTTATTATCTCCTCCAGTGTTCCATAATGTAGTAGTTGGAATTTGTCTTCATTGAACATCATACTGCTTTCCATTGCCCATTGGAAAACTTGGTTTATATCTTCTTGGAGATTGTGTCCTCAATAGATGACAGTCCCATGCAGATCCTAGTATTGTTTGCAAAGGATGACACGGTGCTGTGGATTACATCTCTTGTCCCCCCTACAGATTTATACGCTCTTCAAGTCATTCTATTTTGTTCCATTCTCTCTAAATGACCAAACCACCTCAACAACCCCTCTTCAGCCCTCTGACTAATACTTTTAGTAACTCCACACCTCCTTCTAATTTCCACACTATGAATACTTTGCATAATATTTACACCACACAGTGCCCTTAGACACGACATCTCCACTGCCTCCAGCCTCCTCCTCCTCGCTGCAGCGTTTACGACCCATGCTTCACAACCATATAAGTGTGTTGGTACCACTATATTCTCATACATTCCCTTCTCTGCCTCCATGGATTTTTTGTCTCCATAGATACCTCAATGCACCACTCACCTTTTTTTTATTTATTAGTTTTTATTAACACATCGGCCATTTCCTACCAAGGCAGGGTGGCCCAAAAAAGAAAAACTCTCATCATCATTCAGTCCATCACTGTGTTGCCAGAGGCATGCCTACACTACCGTTATAAAACTGCAACATTAACACCCCTCCTTCAAAGTGCTGGCACTGTACTCCCCATCTCCAGGAATCAAGTCCGACCTGCAGGTTTCCCTGAATCCCTTCATAAATGTTACCTTGCTTACACTCCAACAGCACGTCAAGTCCTAAAAACCATTTGTCTCCATTTGCATCTATCTAACACGCTCATGCATGCTTGCTGGAAGTCCAAGCCCCTCACACACAAAACCTCCTTTATCCCCTCCCTCAAACCTTTCCTAAGCTGACCCATATCCTGCCTTCCCTCCACTACAGATTTATACACTCTCGAAGTCATTCTATTTCGTTCCATCCTCTCTACACATCCAAACCATCTCAATAACCCCTCCTCAGCCCTCTGGATAATAGTTTTGGTAATCCTGCACCTCCTCCTAATCTCCAAACTACAGATTCTCTGCATCATATTCACACCACACATTGCCCTCAGATATGACATCTCCACTGCCTCCAGCCTTCTCGTTGTTGCAACATTCACCACCCATCCATACAAAAGCGTTGGTATAACTATACTCTCATACATTCCCATCACCTTTTTTTATTTCATCAATTCCATGGTTAACCTCATCCTTCATAAACCCATCCACTGACACGTCTCCTCCAAATATCTGAACACATCCACTTCTTCCATACTCTCTCCCTCCAATGAGATATCAAATTTTTCTTTACCTAACTCATTTGATACTCTCATCACCTTACTCTTATCTATGTCATGTCCACTCTGTGAGATTCACTGTTGGGGTCCACATGTTTCCCAAATCAAACTCATACCAGCTTTCTTTAATTTCTTCACTTTTCATCCAGTCTTTGAACCCTTTAATTTTTTTGGGAAATACTGAGTCAATAAGATACATGGTCTTCTTATTAAATCTAGAATTAAGCAAAAAATTATGATGGAGTCCATGCCAATTTATATTTATTGTATAACACTATACTTAAATAATATGTACAGTAATACTCATTCTCCTTTAAAAAATCAGTAATTCAACTACAGTACAGGTAATTCCAAAGAAACATTACCTCAGTGATCACTCCAGAGCAAATATTGAATAGCAAAGTTTTATACTCAGGTATTTAAATTTTGTTTGTACAGTAGGGCCCCGCTTTACGGTGTTTCGCTTTGCGGCGTTCCACTAATACGGTCATTTCAAATTATGCCAAAACTCTATATACGGCTCCCCCCACCTGACTTTCTAATACGGTCACCGTGCCCCACCCGGTTTGTTTACATTCTCTGTGAGATCCGTAAGCACCAAGTCTCTCCATTATGTCTGGAAACTCCAAAATTTCAAGTGTTTTTAAAAGTTATTTCATAATTTATATATTTTTTTTTTTTTTTTTCAACAAGTCGGCCGTCTCCCACCGAGGCAGGGTGACCCAAAAAAAGAAAGAAAATCCCCAAAAAGAAAATACTTTCATCATCATTCAACACTTTCACCACACTCGCACATTATCACTGTTTTTGCAGAGGTGCTCAGAATACAACAGTCTAGAAGCATACACATATAAAGATACACAACATATCCCTCCAAACTGCCAATATCCCAAACCCCTCCTTTAAAGTGCAGGCATTGTACTTCCCATTTCCAGGATTCAAGTCCGACTATATGAAAATAACCGGTTTCCCTGAATCCCTTCACTAAATATTACCCTGCTCACACTCCAACAGATCGTCAGGTCCCAAGTACCATTCGTCTCCATTCACTCCTATCTAACACGCTCACGCACGCTTGCTGGAAATCCAAGCCCCTTACCCACAAAACCTCCTTTACCCCCTCTCTCCAACCCTTTCGAGGACGACCCCTACCCCGCCTTCCTTCCCCTATAGATTTATATGCTTTCCATGTCATTCTACTGTGATCCATTCTCTCTAAATGACCAAACCACCTCAACAACCCCTCTTCTGCCCTCTGACTAATACTTTTATTAACTCCACACCTTCTCCTAATTTCCACACTCCGAATTTTTTGCATAATATTTACACCACACATTGCCCTTAGACAGGACATCTCCGCTGCCTCCAACCGTCTCCTTGCTGCTGCATTTACCACCCAAGCTTCACACCCATATAAGAGTGTTGGTACTACTATACTTTCATACATTCCCTTCTTTGCCTCCATAGATAACGTTTTTTGACTCCACATATACCTCAACGCACCACTCACCTTTTTTCCCTCATCAATTCTATGATTAACCTCATCCTTCATAAATCCATCCGCCGACACGTCAACTCCCAAGTATCTGAAAACATTCACTTCTTCCATACTCCTCCTCCCCAATTTGATATCCAATTTTTCTTTATCTAAATCATTTGACACCCTCATCACCTTACTCTTTTCTATGTTCACTTTCAACTTTCTACCTTTACACACATTCCCAAACTCATCCACTAACCTTTGCAATTTTTCTTTAGAATCTCCCATAAGCACAGTATCATCAGCAAAAAGTAACTGTGTCAATTCCCATTTTGAATTTGATTCCCCATAATTTAATCCCACCCCTCTCCCAAACACCCTAGCATTTACTTCCTTTACAACCCCATCTATAAATATATTAAACAACCATGGTGACATTACACATCCCTGTCTAAGACCTACTTTTACCGGGAAGCATCAGGGAAGAGAGAGGTGAAGGTTTATAAACTAAAAGAGGAGGCGGTTAGGGTAAGATATAAACAGCTATTGGAGGATAGATGGGCTAATGAGAGCATAGGCAATGGGGTCGAAGAGGTATGGGGTAGGTTTAAAAATGTAGTGTTAGAGTGTTCAGCAGAAGTTTGTGGTTACAGGAAAGTGGGTGCAGGAGGGAAGAGGAGCGATTGGTGGAATGATGATGTAAAGAGAGTAGTAAGGGAGAAAAAGTTAGCATATGAGAAGTTTTTACAAAGTAGAAGTGATGCAAGGAGGGAAGAGTATATGGAGAAAAAGAGAGAGGTTAAGAGAGTGGTGAAGCAATGTAAAAAGAGAGCAAATGAGAGAGTGGGTGAGATGTTATCAACAAATTTTGTTGAAAATAAGAAAAAGTTTTGGAGTGAGATTAACAAGTTAAGAAAGCCTAGAGAACAAATGGATTTGTCAGTTAAAAATAGGAGAGGAGAGTTATTAAATGGAGAGTTAGAGGTATTGGGAAGATGGAAGGAATATTTTGAGGAATTGTTAAATGTTGATGAAGATAGGGAAGCTGTGATTTCGTGTATAGGGCAAGGAGGAATAACATCTTGTAGGAGTGAGGAAGAGCCAGTTGTGAGTGTGGGGGAAGTTCGTGAGGCAGTAGGTAAAATGAAAGGGGGTAAGGCAGCCGGATTGATGGGATAAAGATAGAAATGTTAAAAGCAGGTGGGGATATAGTTTTGGAGTGGTTGGTGCAATTGTTTAATAAATGTATGGAAGAGGGTAAGGTACCTAGGGATTGGCAGAGAGCATGCATAGTTCCTTTGTATAAAGGCAAAGGGGATAAAAGAGAGTGCAAAAATTATAGGGGGATAAGTCTGTTGAGTGTACCTGGTAAAGTGTATGGTAGAGTTATAATTGAAAGAATTAAGAGTAAGACGGAGAATAGGATAGCAGATGAACAAGGAGGCTTTAGGAAAGGTAGGGGGTGTGTGGACCAGGTGTTTACAGTGAAACATATAAGTGAACAGTATTTAGATAAGGCTAAAGAGGTCTTTGTGGCATTTATGGATTTGGAAAAGGCGTATGACAGGGTGGATAGGGGGGCAATGTGGCAGATGTTGCAAGTGTATGGTGTAGGAGGTAGGTTACTGAAAGCAGTGAAGAGTTTTTACGAGGATAGTGAGGCTCAAGTTAGAGTATGTAGGAAAGAGGGAAATTTTTTTCCCAGTAAAAGTAGGCCTTAGACAAGGATGTGTGATGTCACCGTGGTTGTTTAATATATTTATAGATGGGGTTGTAAGAGAAGTAAATGCGAGGGTCTTGGCAAGAGGCGTGGAGTTAAAAGATAAAGAATCACACACAAAGTGGGAGTTGTCACAGCTGCTCTTTGCTGATGACACTGTGCTCTTGGGAGATTCTGAAGAGAAGTTGCAGAGATTGGTGGATGAATTTGGTAGGGTGTGCAAAAGAAGAAAATTAAAGGTGAATACAGGAAAGAGTAAGGTTATGAGGATAACAAAAAGATTAGGTGATGAAAGATTGAATATCAGATTGGAGGGAGAGAGTATGGAGGAGGTGAACGTATTCAGATATTTGGGAGTGGACGTGTCAGCGGATGGGTCTATGAAAGATGAGGTGAATCATAGAATTGATGAGGGAAAAAGAGTGAGTGGTGCACTTAGGAGTCTGTGGAGACAAAGAACTTTGTCCTTGGAGGCAAAGAGGGGAATGTATGAGAGTATAGTTTTACCAACGCTCTTATATGGGTGTGAAGCGTGGGTGATGAATGTTGCAGCGAGGAGAAGGCTGGAGGCAGTGGAGATGTCATGTCTGAGGGCAATGTGTGGTGTGAATATAATGCAGAGAATTCGTAGTTTGGAAGTTAGGAGGAGGTGCGGGATTACCAAAACTGTTGTCCAGAGGGCTGAGGAAGGGTTGTTGAGGTGGTTCGGACATGTAGAGAGAATGGAGCGAAACAGAATGACTTCAAGAGTGTATCAGTCTGTAGTGGAAGGAAGGCGGGGTAGGGGTCGGCCTAGGAAGGGTTGGAGGGAGGGGGTAAAGGAGGTTTTGTGTGCGAGGGGCTTGGACTTCCAGCAGGCATGCTTGAGCGTGTTTGATAGGAGTGAATGGAGACAAATGGTTTTTAATACTTGACGTGCTGTTGGAGTGTGAGCAAAGTAACATTTATGAAGGGATTCAGGGAAACCGGCAGGCCGGACTTGAGTCCTGGAGATGGGAAGTACAGTGCCTGCACTCTGAAGGAGGGGTGTTAATGTTGCAGTTTAAAAACTGTAGTGTAAAGCACCCTTCTGGCAAGACAGTGATGGAGTGAATGATGGTGAAAGTTTTTCTTTTTCGGGCCACCCTGCCTTGGTGGGAATCGGCCGGTGTGATAAAAAAAAAAAAAAAAAAAAAAATAGTCTCCCTCTCTTCTACACACCCTAACCTGAGCCTCACTATCCTCATAAAAACTCTTTACAGCATTTAATAACTTACCACCTATTCCATATACTTGCAACATCTGCCACATTGCTCCTCTATCCACTCTTTTCTAAATCCATAAATGCAATAAAAACCTCCCTATCTTTATCTAAATACTGTTCACATATATGCTTCAATGTAAACACCTGATCTACACATCCCCTACCCACTCTAAAACCTCCTTGCTCATCCGCAATTTATATATACTCTAATAATTACACTTATGTATACCTGTACCTAAATAAACTTACACACTGTGCTGGCGTGCAGGTACATATTAAAATTAGTAAGTGTCTTATGTCTCCAGATGCTATATTAGTAATGATAATAATAATCACCGAGTCTCATTAAATGTCGTATATTACGTTAATATACATATTTTCATTAATCCATCTATGATATTTTTTCAAAATTATATAATAAACACGATGCATAACATATAAAGATGATAAATACACCCCACAGTAGAATAAATAAACATAAATATGAGATGTGGGAGCTAGACAACTTGCATTAGTGATGGCAAGAATAACATTTTCTCTAGTCCAACATAAGAGAAAATGTGTTACTGGGGGTAACTGTAGAAAATTATTCTTTTCGTATGTAAGTAAGCAAGTTTATTCAGGTATACACAAATACAGTTACATAGATTATCATACATAGCAGCATATGTGTAAAGTACCTAGGATAACCCAAAAAAGTCAGAGTGACTTATTCTCATTGCCTTCACTCAGAGCATCATTTCTTCTAAAAATGGTGTTACATGAGAATAGGAGTGTTTCTCTTTATTTATTCTACCATATCAATGTAGAGACTATTTGTACACAATGTAATTTGTACACAAACCAGACGTGTACACTTTGTTTACAAAACTTGCGTTCGCCTGGTTTGTTTACATAACTCTGCGCCTGTCCTCTCCCATGTACTCATTCTCTCTCTCTCTCTCTCATTTATTTGTTTTATCTCATTTACTCACCCCTGACCCTACATTAAGACTACAAATATTTTAAGGTAAGTAATGAGTGAACTGTATATGCATTTTATCGCTCTGGGATGCTTAAATGTAATAGAATATTATGTGTAGGTGGGGTGGCCTGGTATGGTAGCCCGGCTGACTACCATACATACCACACTTGGTTTTTTACAATAAATACTACTTGTCTCACCCTAGATTAAGACTACAAATATTTTAAGGTAAGTAATGAGTGCACTGTGTGTATTTTACTTTTTTATTGTTTTTTAATGCCTGGTTCTATTGCTAACTTAATATATGTTAATGTAAACTTGTTATCTAGTATTTGTATGCATTTATAAGGGAAAAAAAAGGGTGTTCCACTGTACGGCGATTTCCGCTTTACGGCGGTAGCCTGGAACCTAGCCTGCCGTATAAGTGGGGCCCTACTGTATATATAAGTTATAACTGTTGGTAATTTTCATAATTTTATAATGACTGACAATGTGACTACTTTATTTGACCCTATGCAAGCCTGGCCCATGGCCGGGCTCTGAGAACAGAAACAGACTCGAAACTCATCAAAGGCAAGGTATGCAATAATGTGCATATACTACCCATGCAGCACAAGTGAAATAACCACAATAATATACAATATCTCAAACATGACCTTACCTATTTGAGAGCTACAAGGTGGCAGAGAATTTAAAAGGGGAGAGAGCAACAGCAGACTGTGATGTTGTTCTTGTAAACTAGAGAGCAAGTCCTTCATGCGTCGTGTAGCCAACTGTAACGACACCACTAGCTGCTCATCTTCAATGTCTGATACACTCCAGGTTGAGTCTGTACCAGCCAGCTCATTACTACTTATCTGCATTACAATAAATGGCCTTACAATTAAAACCTAATGCATGAAATGCTATCAAATTTAAACTTATTCTACATCTTGTTAAATAACACCAGACATGGTATAAACCTTAGTAATAGATACCAATAAGTTGCTTTAGAAAGACACAAACAAACTCTAGAACATATTTATTAGAAAATATTTCAGTCCTGGAACCTTGATCACAAGTGATCAAAATCCTGGGACAAACATTTTCTAATAAATATATCCTAGCGTTTGTTTACATGTCTTTCTAAACCAAAATGAGACACATTAAATGACAAGAATGTTTTAATTCTCAAATAATACTTTAACTCTGGAAGCTCCTCTAAATCTGATGGACTTTGTTAAGTGGTAAGCATGCACAAATTCAAGAAGCATTCTTATACAATGAAAAGCATACCTGCTCAAATTCATCTAGAGTATCTTTATACGATGATATAAATCTAGATGGAGGATCATCAAAGCTATCAAGTTCTTCTGAAATGAAATACATGAATTTCATTATATATAATATAACAAATACAGAAGACAAATTGGGATTATTTGAGTTAAAAACATAAGATTTAATTTAGGATATAAATTCTGCCTTCAAAATAAAATGTCAGATCACAGCAACATTAGCCAATAATATTAAAGACGCTATATGCATGTTGTAGATTATAATTTTATCTAATAATAATGGTGTTATACTTCTAATTTGCTGAGTGATAACTGTAAAAAAAAATTCACATATAACATACAAACCAATTTTGACACAAAAGCTACATTTTTCCTTGCCTTTTACATTAACCTGTTTGAAGTTTATTAACCCTGTCAGGGTCCGTGCCGTAGTTCTACGCCATGAGCTCAGCTCACTCAGATAAGCTCAGAGCGGTAAATTTGGGCCTAGATATGGGAGAATACATCTATGTGGTAAGTGTGTACCACATATAACAAATCCTGCAGCACACAGTGCATAATGAGAAAAAGAAATGAGACCGTAATTTTCGATTAAAACAGCAACTTTGCAGTGCTTTCTTGTATGTTTTTTATAGTTGTATTTGTGATTTCTTGGTCTCAATTGATAGAATGGAAGATATATTACAGAAATAGAGATGATTTTGATTGGTTTTCGTACTGCAAATGGCTTGAAACCAAACTCAAAATAGCGGAAATGTTAAATTTTTTCCAATGTTCAAAAGTAAACAAATGACCTCACACGTCTAATGTGCACCACGTGGTGGGTCTAATATACGTTCACAAATGTAGTGATATTATTTATACAATTATTACAATATTGCATAGCAGTAAATCTTCCATTTTTTGGTCTGAATAAAAATTCATTATGTGAATAAAATGTCAAAATGGAATTCATTTGTAAAGCCTGAAAGGTAACTAATGAACAGAGGAAATGTTAATTTAGTGCCAGGAATGCCTGCATTGTTTATTCTGGATCCTATTTTGAAACTGGAATATTTTGAACTTTGCGTTAAATTGGCCAAATTACCAATTTCCGATCACTTTATTTTGTAGTTGAAACAGCTGACTGGGCGATTTCTTGTGCTCATTTGATAAAACAGAAGTAATGCTAGTGAAATAGCTAAGAATTTGGTTGACCGGAATAATATAATTGGCCTAAAATGGGAGTCAAAGTCAGCAAAACTGCCGATGCGTAAATATCGCTGACACATCAAAATTCGCGAGAGCATAATTTCGTCAATTTTCCATCAAATTTCATACCATTTGTTTTATTACCTTCAGAAAAAGATGCTCTACCATTTCCTAAGAAAAAATAACAAAATTTTTTTTTGAAAATTCTTGGACCCTGGGGCACACTTTGAAATTTGGCCTCTGGACCCTGAAAGGGTTAATGAGATCTATCTGGGCTCTACTACCCAATAACAAAATGTAAAACCAGCAGCATTAAACATCACTAGAAACACATCATCACCCAGACACTTCTTGACATATAAGAGTTTGTATAAAAAAAAAAAAAGAGGATGATAGGCTCTATAGAGGTGCCTCAAGAATATACATTCACTCAAAGGAGACAAAAACAACTTCTGTATCATAAGTGAACCTTTCTAGGAAGAAAATATTGATTGGCATGCAATGGAAAACTAGAATACTGTTCAGACAGCTTTGACAGAAAGCAAGTGACAATCATTAGGGAAAAGTTGTACAACTAAGGAAGATACACAGAAAGACCCGTAAAGCATACAACAGAATTAAAATGAAAAGCAGTCAGAGCTAACCTGAGAGAGGAACAATCTTCGTTTTCAGAGGTACTGGCACATCTGCTGCAGACACTGCCAAACCAGCTCCTCCAGGCAATGCTTTAACTTGTGTGGTTATGAGGCTCAGCTTCTCTCTCAATCTTTTGTTCTCATCATTTAGGTGATTAACCTGAGTATTGTGAAATATGGCTAAATTTCTCAAACATACTCAAAATAAAAAATTATGTAATAAGTATGTACATTACTACATTAAGCATTAATAAATGCAAACATTATCCACAGAGGCAAAATGGGAAATGTATGAGTGCATAGTGGTACCAACACTTATATGCATGTGAAGCATAGGTTGTGAATATTGCAGTAAGGAGGAAGTCGGAGGAAGTGGAATATAGTTTTTGAGTGGTTGGCACTTTTGTTCAATAAATGTATGAAAGAGGAAGGTACCTACAGATTGGCAGAGAACAAACAAACAAAGCCTCCCACAGATGCATTCAAGAGTCAGTGCGTGTGGCATGCAAATAGTACGTAACCTTTATTCGGCGCTTGTACACGCCCTTGTACAGGCTATCTCCCCCAACCAGCGAACCAGGTTACTGAGAGTTGATGATGGGGCCCCGTCGTTCAACTAGTAACCAGGTTCCAGCCAATAAGAAGATGGTTTTGGCAATCGCAGAGGTTATGTGGGTACCACTCTCCTGTCTGCCCTTGTCATTCCCATTCTAGAGCTGGTTGAAGCACGGTCTGCTCTCTTGTGGCTTCTATTCTGCCTTGCTTACCGTGGAGTGCACTAATACCTATCACTGTACACAGTGTATATAGTGTACATATTGCTGTTCTAAATTGGTGAAGGATAATATACGTCAAAACTTTTCTGCTGTGTTTATTTTGCTCCCTCTACACCCAAGATAACAGGCCATTTGGACTCCTGGGTTGTAATATGGGTAGCCTGTCCGAGAGCTGGAGCTGGACTTAGAGAAAGGGTTGAGCCTAGGGTGAAGCTGGTAGCAGGAACATTGTGCAGCTTGCTGTCTGGCATTGCATTAGCTTTGCCAACACTTTACAAATTTTGCATGTCAGTTACTTTGCTATGGTTAGCCTTGCTATTGTGTGATCGTTCAACAGCTCGCGACTAGCTTGTTCGGTGTGCTCGCTTCGCTACGGTCAATCTTGTAGAACAGTGTGTAGCTGGCTGTCTGGCATTGCTTTACAAATTTTGCGTGTCAGTTGCTACTAGCCTGTTCGGTGTGGAGAATTTTGCAGTCAGCTCTGCTATTGCGTATCCACCTTGTATGCGTATTCTGCAATCGTACTGTGCATAGCTAAGCGTGTTCTGCAAATTAACATGTTACGTTGGGGTATTCTGCAATCGTACTGTGCATAGCGAATAACTTATGCCACCTAGACGAGTCAGACGTCTGGTGTCGGCATATACAGTGGACCCCCGGATAACGATATTTTTTCATTCCAGAAGTATGTTCAGGTGCCAGTACTGACCGAATTTGTTCCCATAAGGAATATTGTGAAGTAGATTAGTCCATTTCAGACCCCCAAACATACACGTACAAACGCACTTACATAAATACACTTACATAACTGGTCGCATTGGGAGGTGATCGTTAAGCGGGGGTCCACTGTACTCTGCATAACCTACCTAAATTGTCCCTACAGCATTGTTGGAAAATTGCTCGTTCCATTGGCATTAAATACAAACGCACTCTCACAGCTGCGCAACCGCGTTCACTGATTACTGACAAACTTCGAGAATAAGAGATGGCACATCAGACTCCTCCCTCTACGGGAGCTAGGGCAAAAACTACTATGTTCTCGCAGGAGGAAGATGATATATCAACGGAGCAAAATAGTCAGTAGTGCAGCAGGGTTGTCTCAAGGTGAATCAGCGGCGTTGGCACTTGAGCTGGCAAAAATCAATCTTGAGCAGACTAGGGAACAGAGAGCATTCGCAAAAGAAGAATTTGATAGGGATAGAGAAGGAGGCAGTTTTCGTATTCTGTAAATGATTTTAGTTTACAGAAAGCAGTACAGCTTGTTCCCCGCTTCAATGAGGCCGAACCAGAACAATTTTTCGAAAGCTTCGAAAATCAGGCTCGAGCCTTGAGGTGGCCGGAGCAGCACTGGGCATCGTTGGTTCACACAGTATTGTTTGGTAAGGCACAGGAATTTATGTCAGTGTTAAATGACGCTGAATTTTCTGATTACCAAGTAGTGAAAACCACAGTTTTGGGAGCATATACATGTATCCCAGCCAAGTACAAAAAATTATTTAAATTAGGCAGGCGACAGCTTGGTCAATCCCTAGTTGATTTTGTGCGAAAGCAGACCAAAGCTTTTACCAGCTGGTATAAAGCAAGTGGTATCGCCACCTTTGAGGAGCTGGTGCAGCTTATTCTGATTGACAGCCTGCTGGAGTCTGTGGGACCAGAGGTTCAAGTCTTTCTGCAGGATCGTGACTTAACCACTGCATTGGAGGCAGCCAGGTTGGCTGATACCTTCGAAACTAACCACTCCTTGTCCGAGCGGTCCCGTCTCTCTTTTCAACAGCCTGGCATGAGCAGAGATCGTCAACCTTGGAAAATGAAGTGCCAGCCGGAGGGAGAATGTCTATGTCAGCCAACTAAGTCACCTGGTGAGCCACGCTTCTCAACTTATGGTCCACCTGCTGAGAGACAAACTACTCAACATGGTGCATCTCGACAACAGTATCCAGAGAGACACCAGCCAGAACGACACCAGTTGCAACGTCAGCAGGGAGTAAAGGGCAAGCCTGTCGTTTGCTTCCTCTGTAACAAAGTAGGTCACATCCATCCCAACTGCCCCCACAAGCCCCAACCCATTGGGAAAATCTCTAATATCCCTAGTAACATGTCCCCAAGAGAAGTAGAAAAAGGGATGGCCCCTTATTATTGTAAGAGTCTTATTTCCCTTCAGGAAAACTCCAAAACAACTGAAGTCAAAACCTTTAGATACTGGAGCATATTGCTCTCTTATAAGAGAGGGAATATTATCCCTCTCTAAGAACACTTCCTTGAATTCCTCTGTTTTATTGGAAGCATTTGGAGGAGCTATATATTCTGTCCCTTTGCATAAAATTTATGTACAGTGCAAATATTACACTGGGTACTTGACTGTGGGTGTATCCAAAGGATTCCCCCATGAAAGATGCCATGTTATTACTGGGTAATAACATTACTACTGCTAGTGTGTGTCCTGAACCCATAATGATAAATTCTTCTCCAGTGTTGGCCATAACTCGGGCAACATCCCAAGGGTTGTCTGGCGAGAATGTTGACCTATCCTTGGACGACTCTGATCTCGGAATAGCCACGTTGTTTTATGAGGCACACTGGCCGGAGCCTTGTAAATCAAGTGAACAGACCCCGATCAAGCCTTCCTATTCCCAGGTTGCAGGATTACCAGATATCTCTGTTTCCATGCCCGAAGAACTGTCCTTCCGGGAGGAACAACGAAAGGACCCTTCTTTGAAATTCGCTTTTCAGGCAGCCATGGGTAAATCCTTTTTGGATCATCCGGTCAAGTATGAACTTTAAAACGATTATTGATCTGCACTGAGACTGGTAAGGAGATAGAGGGCCAGCAATTGTCTGACAGGTTAGTGGTTCCAACAAAGTTTAGACCTCAAATACTGAATATAGCTCATAATACTTCATTAGGAGGTCACTTAGGAATTACAAAGACCTTGTATAGAATCACAAAAGAATTTTATTGGCCAAAATTAAAGCAGGATGTGAAGAATCATATCAGGTGTTGCCGAGAATGTCAGCAAGTAGGGAAACCTGGACATTCCATTAAACCTGCACCTCTCCAACCTATACCTGCTGATGGAGAACCTTTTGCAGATTTAATTATAGATTGTGTAGGTCCACTACCTAGGTCAAAGTCTGGAAATCAGTATTTATTTACCATTATGGATAGAGTAACCAGATATCCTGAAGCAATTCCCATGCGCAGTATTAATACTAAAGCTATTCTCAAAGCTTTAAAAAAATTTCTTTCTTGTTTTGCCATTCCTAAAACTATTCAAAGTGATCAAGGTACTAACTTCACTGCCAAAGCATTTAGGGAAGCATTAACTAGGTTAAGGATAATCCACAACTTATCCACTGCCTATCATCCTCAGTCCCAAGGCACCTTGGAAAGATTCCATCAGACATTAAAAACCATGATGAGAACTTTTTGCATGCATTTTCCTACAGACTGGGATGAATCACTACCTTTGTTGCTATTCTCAGTACGAGAAACGGTGCAAGAGTCTACTGGGTATAGTCCGTTTGAGCTGATCTTTGGTCACAATGTACGAGGTCCTCTTCGGGTGCTCAAAGAAGGATGGATGGGAGAAGACGTTAGCTCAACACTCTACAACCCGTCTTCAAGGTTGCAGGTGGCATGTCAGTTAGCCAAGGTTAACCTAAAGACAGCTCAAAATAAGATGAAACAGAGGTATGACAGAAGTGCACAATTCCGCTCCTTCCATCCAGGAGACAAGGTGTTGGTGCAGGAACCTATACCTGGCCACACCTTGAAAGCTAGATTTATGGGACCTATGCAAATTGTAAATAAATTATCTGAGGTAAATTATGTGGTAGCTCCTCGTGATAAGACCTCAAAAACTAAAACCTACCACATTAATCAGTTAAAATCTTTTCATACACCAGATAAAGTCCCAGTAATGACTCTTATCCTCTTCCTCTGAGGACAACTCTGTTTCTTTGCACTCTATTTCTGAAATTAATGTTAAACTTTCAAATTCTGTCCTCCTCAAGGACCCTAGCCCTATAATGGAGGGACTATTTGAAACACAAGCAACAAGTTTAACTGAGCTTCTACAGTCATACCCTAATATTTTTTTGGATGTGCCGAAAAAATGTACGTTAGGTTATCATGATGTAGATGTGGGAAACTCTAAACCTATTAAACTCTCCCCCTACAGAGCTAATCCTGAAAAGCAGAGGCTACTTCAGCAGGAAGTAGAATTTCTGTTAAAGCATGATTTAGTGGAGGAGTCATCTAGTCCATGGGCTTCACCGTGCATCCTTGTTAAGAAGGCTGATGGAGGGTTTCGTATGTGTACAGACTACCGTAAGGTGAATGAGGTCACAACCACAGATGCTTACCCTCTTCCTCGTCTGGATG